AAGCATGTTAATTAAATTGAAGCTTTTGCTTCACTAAAGAGATAAAAACAAAGACATCAGATCAGAAGACTTTAAACTTCTTTAAATTAGTACATGAAACAGAATCGTCATTATTGCCATTATGTTTTCACATCATTTTCATTCGTTTCAGAATTGTCTGGAGCTCTTTTTTTTTTTTTTTTTTTTTTTTTACATTATCTCATTGTGTCCTCTTCTTCTTCATTGGTTTAATGAATTCAGAGTGGAGAATAGCAACAGCTGTTTATCTTAATGCACCCAACTCCCAATATTCACATAAAAGTAGTGGAAGTAAACGGATAAATTCATGAATTCAGATTTTCTTTTTCCAATTATCTGAAGGTCACCTGGTGTATCAGAACAGGGACATTGCAGTTGCTCTACATAGGTCTAAGACCACTTGGCTCCAGGACATCCCCCACAAGAGTAGTGATTTCTTAAAGATAATAGTTCATTTACGTTAGTCAGTCTTGTTCTATGAGTTAAGGAGATCCAACTGCCAGACCGCAACTGTTAGCTGTTTAATACTGGACATCCATATTCTGAAGTCTCTATTGGCTATATAATATCAATTAAAGCGATGTCAAACTACCAAATGTACTACAATTTCTACAAACCGTAGCCCTTATGTCTATGTTCCTACTGTATTTTCATGAAACTGTTGTATTGTTGCTGGAACTAGTACATACAGAACATTGTCTGTTTTCTTTATTTGACAGGGACAATGCAATTTAAAGGTTCTGTTTGTGACATTCAGAGTATTAATATAGCAGCAAATCACTGTTTGCTATGTAAAGATAAAGTGGCGTAATGGCATCCTGAGCAGAGAATCACACTCCCTCTGTGTGTGTTATAATCCGAGGTTCTCTGTAGTTTGCTGTGGTAAGCTGATCTGGCGAAGTGTGCGTGTTAATGCGTGTGTATCTCATTGGCTAGCTCATCTGTGGTGACAGCGGTAGCAGCTGGAAAGTGTAGCACCTACCCTTAGGTTGCCCCTTAGTAAAGATTGTTAGCTCTGTCAGCACTGTTGCTGTTGTTTAGTGTTATTGTTAGCACGGTTAGTTGCTAGCCATCACCTCAGCCCTCACTAGCCTCTAACAGCATTTCCCCCCTCATTAACACTGTTAGCTGTGTCAGCACTGTTACTGTTGTTTAGCACTGTTTATGGAGTTAGCACAGTTAGGTATTAGCTGTCAGCTCAGCTACTGCTAGCAGTTATTGGTGTCTCCTCCACTGTTAAAACCATTAGCTCTGTCAGCACTGTTGCCATTGTTTAGCACTGTTTATGGAGTTAGCACAGTTAGCTGCTAGCCGTCGGCTCAGCCACTACTGGCAACTTATGGTGTTTACCCCCAGTTAACACTGAGCAAACAGTGTTTCTCTCCTGGTTAGCACCATTAACACTGTTGTCAATGGTTAGTGCTGTTTTTGCAGTTAGCACTGTTAACTGCTAGCCCCCAAGTAGCCACCTCCATGCTGAGAACTGTGTGCAGACAACTCATACTCTCTGAATTTCACACAGAGCCCCTTTAACATAGTTTCAATACAAAGCATGACACTGATGTGCTGCACAGACAGTTTAGCTTTTGCTCATTTTCAGCTGCTATCCCTATTTATGCTTTTACATGTACAGTGGGATTAAAATACACAGCTTTATATCATAAAACCACATTACACCACAAATATGGAAATACAATAAAATACACATCACACAATACACATACACCAATACACCTAGGTAATTTACAGCGCAATTAGCTAAAAATTGGTACAGCTGTGGTTTGCTTTAATCAGCATGTGACCTTTGTTGTAAAAGATTTTATATCTGTGGTTAATTTGATTTCAGTTGGTAATGTGTTCCAGTCTTGACAGCCCTTTATGGAGAGAGCTGATTGATTTAGATTTGCAATGTGGTATTTTACAGTTGCCATCCATCATGCTACCAGTTATTCTGCTACTGTCTCATCTAGAAAGAGGCTCTGGGGCTAGACTGTTAATATATTTGAAAACTAATTTAAGAAAACAAAGATAAGTAAAGCTTTCAAAGCTGAATGATTGTATTGTTTAACTCTGTGACATTGATACCACCAGACAGGCTTTTTATCCATTATTTCCAGTACCTGATTCTATAAGGATGTAAGATGTGTGACTGTAGATTGTGATGCTTCAGCCCATACTGTCATACAGTATGACTAAGCTGCTTGAGTGAGAATGCAGTGCCTGATTAAGTTGAAACAATAAAGGTCGGTCTTAATTGTTTTTGAGATTATCTTTCCATGTTGATCAAATTTGAGCTGTGGATATTTTAAGAACCTTAAATCATTGACCTCTATATACCTTTTATTTCCAAATCCAGCTTTTTGAGGCACAATCCTTGCAGGAAATGCAGTGATTGCTCTGTAAAAAAAAAAACACTTTCAGCAGCACTATTTTCATTGGAAATACAGTGGTGTCTTTATAAAAATCACTGCTTTACGTGGAACTATCCCCAGTGGAAATTAGCCATGTTTGGTGGCTAAAAAGGTGCTTGAAATGCAGCAATAACTTGATGAAAAACTAACAAGCAATTTACTGTCCCCCACCTTCTGATCACATAGTCAGCTCATATACTGTGGCACTTTAGAAACATTGATATAATACATATGAAATGTAAAAATGTAATGTATTTGTTGTGTCCGGAAATGTACAATGATTGTGACTAGGCTGCTTATTCTTTGTTCTGTATCTCAACTTTAGGAAGATGATATGATCGTGACGTACTTGTGTCACTTTACAACATGCTACCAGAGGCCATTGATATTCCAAAATGGCCCACTGTAGATTCATTCCCCGTATCCATGTCACGTGGGTTTCGCCCCCCGCCCCGCCCCTTTAGCAGACTAGCGGTGATAATGAGTCCATTCATTCCAATGGTAAAAAGTGAACTAGAGTACAGATTATGAGTGTTTCCTTTGTCCCATGGTCACTGAAGTAAATACTCAACCCATTTTTCAAAAGCCCCAATCCTTCTAAACAATCTGACAATGGAATGGCATTTTTTCTGACAGACAAATGAGGAAAAAATTAACTTTTTTCGAGGCATGTCTTTGTTTTAGCAATAGACTCTGGCGAGATCTGGCAACAACTGATGTGATCTTACACTCAGTTGTCATCAGATATTAAGCTAGCAGATAAAAACTTGTGACAAAATAAGGAGCAAACATTAAATTTGAACTATATATCTGTATGTGTTGAACAGTTAAACTGTATGTGTTGTTTGAATCTGATTTCATCCACCCCAACAAGGTAGGGGTATGTAGGAGAGAGACGACCACACCAACTTATGACACCGGAAGTGTACATCATTTGGTACCATTAGCATAGCTTGTAACACGTTATCTTTTGTTATAGAGTATCTTTGGTACTACATGACGAACGTAGTTCAGTCAGGAGCACTTGGGTCAGAGAAAATTATTTCCATTGCAGTATCATATTTGGCGTTACGGCTCTGCTCTGGGGTCTCTCTTCTTCTCACACCTCCCTGCCCTTCCACACATATAGGAGGAAAGCCTGAGGCAGAGAGAGCAAACCTCCCTGCCCTTCCATGCGCCTACATGGAAAGCCTGAGGCAGGGAGAGCAGCAGCAAAGACCCCGCGGGAACAGAACAGAGCAGAATCAATGGCAAACAGAAATGACATTGATAAGTCAGACACAACATGAAAAGGAGGAGGTGGGGTGGGGGCAGATTGCAAAGCGGCTTGCAGAGGAAGCAGCAACAGTAGGCAGGCCAAAGCTGTTTAAATAGGGCGCCCTGAATGAGAGTTGTCAATTGGTTACATAGAAAGGAATCATGTGATCTAGCAGCTGACTCCCTTCCATCAGTCAGCTGCTTCATCAGTCGATTGGGCTGTTTGAGATCAGTTGATGTAGCTGGGATGTGAGCTGAGCTTGACATCGTGTCCTGGCTGAACTAATGCTATTCTCAATTTATTGTAACTGGAAACATAATCTTCTTTCTAAACTTAGCCACATAGTTTTGGTGCCAAAAACTACCCGTGTGCCACCACATAATTTAACACATTGCATGCCAGCATCACATAATGCAGTGATAGTGGTCATTTCACGTATTTCTGTGAAATCACATTGTTCAGATTATTTGTCATTGTCTTCAAAGACAACCAATGAGTGTTTCTAGCCACACTTTAACAGCATGGCTCTAGGGATGGTGCTGTCAGTTGAACTTTCCACCACTTTTGTGAGGACTGAAATAACTCAACAGCTATTGGATGGATCGCCTTAAAATTTGAATCAGACAGAAGTAGAGAGTGTGTTTGTTACTATTCACAAGACCACAAGGGGTTGCATGTCAGGAAAGTGTAAACATAGATGGTTTTAAGTGTTTGACCAACAATCACTGCTGTCTCCTTGAACAACATTTTGTGGCCCTTAGGACACATTTTCTGAATATCTTTTTGAATAGCCGTTGTGATTCAGTATTTCCACAGCTCAGCGTGTCTGCATTAATTCAGACATCCTTCTGACTGTCAGTTTGACTCAGGTCTACATTGCCAGTGAAACATTTCATCTAGAAATCCCACACACATCACCAGGCCAGGGGACTCTTGGAGACATTCATAATTATACACTGAATTGCTCCCTTGACTGATTAGTTAATAACTTTTGAAGAACATACCATTTCTCTGACAGCCAATGTGCCAGTCACCGTAGGTAATAGAAATGTATGTTGAAAGTGTTCTTCAGCGTTGACACAATAGGGTCTCATACAACAGCAGATTGCTATTGTTTGTAGGAAAGAAGAGTGATTTGTCTTGGTATTTAATTATTAACTGACAGACATAGCCTCTCCAGCTGAATCATGACACTATGGAATAATGTTATCTTTACATTCCATTCATTCCCGCTCTGTGTCACCAGTGTCGATCTTATGTGACGACCCATGAGTCAATGTTATTTCCTCATCATTTTTTTTTTCTCTCTGCAGGTTCCATTGCAAGGTGCTCCTACATCAAGTATCACTACTCCTCGGCTACGATACCCAAAAACCTCTCCTTCAACATCACCAAGACAATAAGGCAGGATGAGTGGCACTCCCTCCGTAAGTCTGCAGTTTCTTTTCTTTCTTGTTCTTATCTTTCTTTTGTGATAGCGTACCAATTTTTTGTATATGGAAATGCTTTTGGCTAAATACATTTCATTTCACTCTCTGAGAAGTTCTTATTGTAACAGACATTTTTAAATAACAGAGGAAGATACATAGAAATACAGAAGCCAAAGAGTTATGCAGTACTCCCCTCTGTCTTTATATTTAATTGACTTTTCTCCCTTGAGCTCACAGTGCCAGCTGTTAATGTAGCAATATTCAAGAGCAGAGGTATAAAAATAGCAGGGAAATTTCACTGTGATTAAACCTACAGGCTACAGCACACTTTAGCCTTCATTTCATCTGATTTGGTCTTTATTTTTCACAAGTAGTAAGGTGTGCTATTTCATTTTCATGGCTCTTTCACTGAAGCAAAGCATTCTTTTGAGCAGGTTGTGTGTTGCTGTAGGGCAGGGAATGTAGTTGTTGCAGGAATCAAAGCAACAACATTTCCAGTATGGTGCAATCACTTTAAGCGCTTGGCCATTCTGCTGGCCAGTGATCAATAGTCTTTGATGATGCTATTATGTCAAACTGCATTTGTCCATTCGTCTGTTCACCATTTTGTTCCAGAGCAAAATATTTCAACAGCTTCTGACCACATAGCTGTGAAATGGACTGTGTCAAAGTGAAAGTCATGGTTTACAGAGGATAACTACTAACCCTTTATATGATCCCCCTGACGTTTCAGGCCCCCAGCCCATATGACCACATTGTTTGTTTGTTCATACCCCCTAATACAATCCACAACAGGAGTTCCTAAAGTCATGCTCCTAGCGATGGCAAGAGCTCAACACAAAAACAACATATATGACAGATTGCATTTTTTAACACTTTTAGGTTTAGGCAACAAAAGTACTTGGTCAGGTTGAGGAAAAGATCATGGTGTGGGTTAGAATAAGTACAACTGTCACACCATACATATAAACATAAGTAATATCATGTTTTGAATGTGATGTAAGCTCAGTACGTTACATAAGTTAACCTTCGTACATAAGTTAAAGAAACTAAACATTGACTTTTGGTTTCACACAGAACATAAACTAACCCAATCACCAGAGTAAATGTTGGCATTGTGTGTTCCTGCAGTCCACAAATATGTTCCCTATGTTCCACAATGCTGTGGTTAACATGTAGTTGGGTTTAGCCACAAAAAAGTTTTAGTTATGGTTAAGTTTGGGCTTAAAATACCTCCTGATGACAAAGTCAGCTTATATTGTACATTACATTAGAAACATTAATATACCATAAAAATTAGTAGCCTGGGCAATTATTTGCTTAAATAACTGAAATTAACAGGCCTATATCTGGGACAGGTGTCTATATGGGACAGGCCTCTAATTTATTTTACACAAAACTGTTGCTCAACAAAGATGGCAAATTCAATCAAATTGCTTATTGAAACCATCAGATAATATATGAATTATGAATCATTCATTTGATCTTGCTCCAACAGAAAGTGCATCAGAGAGAGAGAGTTATGACAATTCAGGATTATGGCATCTGGCATACTGACACAACACCACTTTATCCTGTTAAAACAATACTCACAACTTGGATTAATTTTTATGAAAAACCCTTTTGATTCTTTTGATCTGGGGACCCTTATAGACTAAAGGAATATGAATAATTTACAGGGTTATCGAGGAATGGACACATAATTTGAGGTAGCCAACAACCTGGTTTGATACATCCAAAGAACTTCTATAAAAAAAATGAACTGCTTGGCAACGGGACCAGGAGTCTAATTGAGACAGCCATTGTTTTGTCAAAATGTGTAGCCATACCAGGCTGGTAAAAGGGACAGGGCATTTAAGTGGAACTAGGCATTTAATTGAAGTTTACGGTAGAAGTTACAAAGGTAACTTATCTGAGGTTTGCAGAAACGTATAATGCCAGAATTTTCCTCTGGCAAATGGGCTACACAACTAGTGTTCTCCTGGGTCAAAGTCTTTGTACACAAGTGATCCAGATTTGTCTTTAAGATATCTAATAATGTGACTAGGAAGATTATCACGCCATTAACCAAGCCAATTCAGTGTTCTTATTGCACCCTTCAAGTTTTACATTTTAGATCTCTGTGCTCCAGGCTTTTGCAGGACTCTAACCAACATGTCCAAGATTTTGCAATTTATTCTGCAGTTTAACCTCTCGGTTACTTACATGCAAAAATCAGGTATCTTTGATAGTTTCTATGGTTTATGTAAACAGTTAGTGGTCAGCCTGTACATATATCTATGCATCTATCCAACAGTTTGTTCCAGAACGAAAGACTCACCTTTGACTACCACCTCGGTCCAAGACAAGATATCTAATATATCTAACTTATTTTTCCATAAAATATGATTTAGATAGTCATGATCTCTAGAGGGTGAATGCTATGCATCCTGATCCCATAGGCCCAGGTGTTTTTTGGTGTCTTTTCTTTAAGAGCCACTACTGGGTTGTACACTACACTAGAACTGTCAAAACTGAACAACTACATTGACATGATTTTTTGTGAGTAAATACATGAGTACCAAGTCATGTCAAATTTGTGCACAAGATTTCTCATAATTGAACTTGCAGATTGTTAAGACATTTGCTGAGAACATCCATGTTCCCCAGGGGATAAATCTTATTTATATTAATGTAAATACCCTACAGGGATTTTCTCTTGCGACCCCCTCAAAGCAAACTTTCCGATTCAGGTCCCACTACTGTTCAGGCTCTAAGGGCAGCCAAGTCATCAGTATGTTGTTTGTTTGGTTCAACACTCTCATTTGTGGGGGGTAATGAACATTCAATTCTCTGCATTCAGGTGTGATCCAGTTTGAGCCACACTAACTGTACGTTTGAGTTTTAAATGTTCAGTAAGTCCTGGACCTGTAGCAAATCAACTAAGTAGCTGAAGGGCTTCCTCTCCACAGCACTGTTTGCCTGTTAGATTATATCAGCATGGGTACGAGTGCTGTCAGAGAAATCTAGAGGGAATCTATCCAGTTTTAGGATACCTGCCATTCATGAGCCGTTCCTCTGGGCTTGTTGTAGCTCTCCAGTTGCCTGGCCACTGAGCCGAGTGGAAACACGCTTTGACCTCAAACTGTCACTGTCTCAGTCTGACTAGTCTTCCACTGTCAGGTGACAGACTTGGGAAAAGCTCCTCTCTGCTCCAAATCGCTGAGGACTGTTCTGCTGTCTGTTTTCTTCTGCCTTCTTCCCACTGTGCAGCTCTGTCCTACAAAGCAGAGGAGGAAACAGTTTCTATTTAGAGGCTATTATATAGCATATCCAGGGCAGATGATAGTAGGTATGTATTATTACTAGGGAAGCATGATATTGGATTTTTTGCTGATATCCAATATGCTAATATGTCACATCGCATACCAATACTGATAGGGATGTCCCGATCCGATATTCGGATCGGTATCGGCTGCCGATATTAGCAAAAAACGTGCATCGGCATCGGATCAGACTGCATGGAAAAATGCCGATCCCAGAACTCCGATCCAGTTTTTCATGGAGTCCGGTCCAGGCCAGCCCAGCGCTCCACGATTCAAGCAGTCCATTCCAGTGATCCACTCCAGCTCTTACTATCAATCCACCAGGCCAGCATGCAGACACACACGGAGGGAAGGGTAGGAAGAGTAGCGGTCAATTTAGTTAACTGACTCTTTGTTTTCTGTTCTGGTTTTTTGAGAGTGATATTTTTATTTGGAACATTCTAACTAACCCAATTAAGTAGTTGTTCATTTTAGAGTAATATCGCTTGATCAAACCTTTTCTAACATGACTGACAACGAAATAAGTGAATATGTACAATACACGCTTGGATCGGATCGGTATCGGTATCGGCCAAAACTCAAGGCTGTAATATTGGTATCGGATCGGAAGTGAAAAAGCTGGATCGGGACATCCCTAAATACTGATATCGATATATGCAATTTTTTTCCTACCTAATTTTAGTGATCATCAAGTCTCCTCTGTAGTGGAATTAACATCATATTATGCATGCATACTCAATGTGATGGCCCACCAGCAGATGGAGACATGAAATAGACTGCTTTTCAGTGTATGTAATATTCATTCATTGTGCAAAATAAGAAAAAGAATGTTGGCCGATTCTTTGCCATCATTATCATGCATCCCTAAGTATTACTTCAAGTTGGACAATTTATTCCAAAATGTTATTATTTAATGAAATGGTAAGAAGCTACAGTAACTGGGGTAAAGCATAGGCTATAGCATAATCACATTAAACATGTACAGTTTCTTACATTGAAAATGCACACACAGCATCAATGCAAGTCCATCAAAATCAAAACATGTCCCACAATTCCCCTCTAGTATTTTATATAGGCAAACTGGAGACAGCTTAAGAACACCACTCTGTTGAGACAAGATAGCATATGGACGTCATCCATGGTTTGTGGTCTTCCATTTTGGTATTTTAGCCATTGCCATCTTGGATTTTTGGAATGAGAAGTGAGCATTTTTGGGCAAGAGGGAGGAGCTAACCTTAATGCTAGCTGCTAGCTTAGTTAGCATAGCACATATACAGCTATGGTTTACTATAATGTTGTGTTCTTACTGGGTGTGAATAATATAATTCATGCGAGTGAATTACATATAACGTCAATGTTAAGACATGATTAGATGCAAATTTCCACCAGGCAACACAACACGAAAATGTTTTAATTAACTTTAATGAACTCTAAAAACACAATGAAATGGTGACAGCTACAGCCATGCCTATACTCTATGAATCTGAGGTTACGCCGTTATGATACCTTACCAACTCTGTTGCTGTGGTAGCGACTTGTCACTCAAAGCATCTACGCCCTTAATTGTGCAGAGAAATGTCATGGAGCCCCTCAGGTACCAGAGATACAGGTTACAGTGCCGCCCACTGGGTAAATATAAATTTGTAAAAATAAAAAGTACAAATTTGAGCTCTCTAACTAATTATTTGTCAC